GCCTAGTTTTCACAGCTGATATTGAGCTTCTCCAGCGGTTCCTTCCACAGATGTAGTCGATCTGATTCCTATGCATACCATCAGGTGAAGTCTATGTGTATAACCTGCGTTTCATTGCAAATGAATATAGTATACATACATACATATTGTACATATAGTAAGAAAGTAATCTCACTTTACTCCTCTATTCAAGTTGAGTGTTGTCTTAACATGGGCTTTCACCCTTTGAAATTTGGAGCTCTTCCTTTGATTGGGTCAATTTTTTGTGGTTAACAGGTACCCAGCATTCTGTGCTACTTTATTCAGCTACTATGATTGCATACACAATACTTAAGGAAACTAGAACTTTTTTCCAGATTCTTTTAGTACCACATAGATTTATAAATACATCTTTGACAGGGTTGATTTTATCAAAAGCTTATGAGAGTAAAGGTGAGGGACGTTGGGGTGTGGTATCGTGAAGTAGAAAGAAACTTCTACTTTGGAGCTGGTATATCCTGAGGTTGAATCTTACGTGATTGAAGAATTTGATTTAGCCCTTAAATGTATTATACAAACTACTTGGTGTGATTTACTGAAAGTGCCTCATGCTGTACTTGGTATGTAACTCATACTTAACTCACTCACTCACTGCCTCAAAGTTGGAACCAGCTCATACTAATCTTTCAGTGAGGTCTTCTTCAAAGTTGTAAACTGCATGATTGCCCATTTTTCTTTTGGAGCTACTGGTGAATTTGAACCACCAGTGGGCACTGTCTTTGAATTAGTTGTGCAGCTCCCTACAGACTACATCACCTGAGCTCTCTAAGTAATGCTAATAGTTTATGAGTATGTCTGTTAATGAATGAGTAAACATCTTACCAAATTGCCTTACAAAATATTATGCTAATTTTCACTGTTCCTAGCAATATGTGATAGTGTTTTTTTACTGTAACTTTACCAGCTCCCATATTATAATGCTAAACAAATTGTTAGGTGAAGAGACTGAAAATGCTTCTCTAATTGGCTTTGTGTTTCCTTGGATTGTTCGTGAAGTTGACTTTTAATTTTCTAACAGTGTTTTTAAGCGTTTTGAACCTTTTGTTCAGTGTGTGCGTTCCCTTTGAGTAGACAGCAAATATCAGGGAAGAGAATTCCTGGATGTAAAATTTTCAGATACTTTTTATTTGAAGTAGAACAATATTTGAAGTAGCTTCAGTGATTCTAAATTGTAGTTTTAACGTAACATGATATGCTACACCCTCAGAGCTCTCCTTATTATATAGAACACATTTGATTTTAGCACTTAATTCTACTTGGAGAATTTGTCCATGAATAATGAGTATGAAACGAGAGACTTGAATTTATTCCTATATGTCTTGGTGAGTGAACATTTAACTGTTCTGAGTATGGTATAGTATATAGTTCATATGGTGTGGTTCATTACACGAGGTAATGGGTAATGTTTACCTGAAGAAACTGGTTTCTTTCCTCACCATTTTGGTGTTCTTTTAAAGGGATTTTCAAAATTATTTTTGACTAGATAAGATTTTTACCTTGTGTTGACTTTTTGATACTTATTTTTGGCACTGTGTATATTGTATATGTATAGATAGAGAGGTTTTGTAACACTTAGGCTTAGTTGTTTCTGTTAAAAGCAAATGACATTTCAGAGTAGTTGCTCTTATTTAAGGAGCTCTGCTGGCTTAGTCCAAAGGGAGTCCAGAGGCAGCTCACCTCCTAGTGGTTCTCACCCACCAGCTGCTCCACAGGAGAAGGGCAGTCAGTCTTCTCCCTTAAAGCCTCAGAAATCTGCCGGAAGGTCAGTTGTGAGTCTGCATCTGCTGACAGCAATATCTTCTGAGATACTTTTCCCCCCCTTTGCATGAGGATGTGGAAGTAAGTTTTTCCAGTAGGAGAGAGGGGAAGTTCTAGCTCATTATTTTATTTGGAAAAGTGAAATGCATAGATGTAGTTAAGGCTAGTAGTGACTCCAGGATTTCTATTACAAAAATGGCAAAAGCCCACCATTGTAGTTAGCTTTGACTCCACAGCCCTACGTTGGGTTATTATGGCTGTAAATCTTAATTGAAGAAAACTATCCATCTCTCTCCCTCAGGGCGGTTGGTGTTTTTACCCACTAACCTTTTGGTTGGCAGTGTGGTACGTGACACACTGCACCATCAGAGCTCATTATTATATAAAGGACATAGTTGATGTTTTGCTTTAATCTTATTTCCCTCTTAAAATCTGCAGAGCGGTGGACATGAAAACAGAGTCAATTGCATACAGTGGCATCAAGATAATGGCTGTTTATATAGTTGTTCAGATGACAAGCATATTGTGGAGTGGAATACACAGACCTGTAAAGTAAAGTGGTGAGTAACATTGATGATTCTGTGGTATTGGGGGGCAGCAACAGTTTCTGTTTGGAAATACATTATGGTTTGCACATTCATGACTATTCTTACCGTAACAGGAAAAACGTAATGTAGAACTTAGTAGGGAAATGTAAGGTGGAATAAGGTTATGGACTCTGTTTTCAGGAACCTTTAATCGGGCATGCGAGATCTTAATATACGAAAAGTAAATGATTTTGCAGTGTGCCTTAAAATAGCATGTGATTAGTATAGTGCTAAGTAGTCCTGGTAGAAAAGAAAGGATTTGGGCCTTCTAGGTTAGATAACGATTTTTGGAAAGGTGGTCAAAGAAGGTTTTCAAGGATGGAGCAAGGGAGATTGAGAGATGGCAAGACCATAGGCTGGGAGACAGACAAGTGAAAGATTTACTTGGACCTGAGAATTGAGAGGAGGAATATACTAGGAAATATGAATAAGGAAATACAGATAATGGCTACCTTAAGAGACTGTTACTGTCACAGATTTTAAAAAAAAATCCATTTACCTTCCATTTACTGATGTCCTATCAGAAATACTGGCAGATTCTGACTTAGTAGATCTAATGAGGTGGGGCCCATGCAGTTGTACTGTTCAAGTTGTCTGGATGGGAGTAAACCATATCTCCTTTATGTATCATTATTTTGAGGGATGAGGTTAGTCTCTACCTTAACAGTTGAAATGGTGCTTATCTCATAAATAATGTGTTAGCCACTTTCCTCTTTAGTTTCTTTTTCCAGAGCAGAGTCTTCAAGTGGTCTTTGAATGCACAGTCATCTCTGATTCCATATTAAGCCCTCTCACCTCCAAAGTTATTCTTCCTTAAGTATTACTGTTCTTTCTGTGGCTATACTCCTTTTTTTTTAAAAAAAAAAGAAGTCTGCAGACTATTAAAAAGTTAAATTGTCTACAGGATTTCCATTCTCTTTGTGCTCTCCAATGCCTTGTTTTTAAATGTAACTTCTAGTAATTCCTTAAGCTTTTCTTTAAGTATTACCTCCATGTTTCTAAATTACCTTCTTGTACAACTACTGTTAATGGATGGCCTAGTGGTAACAAGCTGTGCTGCGATCTCAAAGGCACACCCGTTCAAACCCATGGGAGAAGGATGGATAGCCCCCTCCCATGCTATTTATTACTTCTGAAAACTCATTGAAGGGTCAGCTATGAGTCATTTCTGACTTGACGGCACACAACAACAGCATACTACTGTTAATTGATTTTGGTTTTCATTTAAGATGTTATCCAGGACTTTAGTCATTTTGTTACAGCACAATCCCCTCCTGAGATTGGCCTTTCCACTCTAGATGTACTGATTTGGAATCTACATTTTAATAACTCCACGTTATTCTTAAAATGTAGTTTCTCATTCAGTCCATCTGGGATGTTGTTGTTAGGTACTGTTGAACAACATGTCTAAACTTTGTTCTGTCCTCCACCTCTTCGCTGTCTCTGATTTGCTCAAGCCTATTGTTACAGTCACTGTCAGTTCATCTTTTTGAGGGTCTCCCCTACCCCTTCTCCAGTATGATGTCTCTTTCCAGGGACTGGCCCCTCTTCATTACATCCCCACGGTAGGTGAGATGAAGCATCATCATCCTTGGCTCCAGAAAGCACCCTGGTAGCACTTCCTCTAAAATAGAGTGGCTTGTTCTTTTAACAGTCCCTAGTGTATTTGGTACTCTTCTCCAGCATCACATTCAAAAGCATCGCTTATTCTGTCATCTTGATTCATTGTCCAGCTTTCTGATGCATAGGAAGCAATTGAAAATATACCATGACTTGGACCAGGTGCAGTTTAGTTTACATCATTGCTCCTGAGCACTTTGGAGAGGTTGTGGAAAGGAAATTCTCAGCAGGGCTGCCAAATTGGAATGAATGTTTGAAACCCTGGGATTGTCAGCTGTTTTCCTACTCTGAAAAATTAGGATTTATTTCTCCCCACCTCTGTACCTACCCTTTTAATAATAGTTTTTTGTTTAAAATGTTTTACTGTTGATGACTAGTGAGCTCTGGCTGTATAGTCCTTAGGGAGTTGAAACCATCAGCATTTCTGCGAGAAAGGTAGATGTTCTCTTCCAGTAAGGTTTATAGCCTCGGGTCTATAATCTCAGAGGCACACCGTTCAAACCCACTAGATGCTCCATGGGAGAAGAATGGATAGCCATAAATCATCTATGGGTTGATTCTGATTCAGTGGTGCTGAGTGGATTATAGCTTCTTAAACATTGTGAGAGCTGAGCCTTGAATTCTCCTAGGCTTATTTTCTTCTTGATAAACTTGATATTCTTGGGGTTTGTCATTGCCTAGTTTTCCATTTGCTTAGTCTTCCTCCCACCACCCAGTTTGCTTTCTTTTGTACTGTCCTTAAATAAGGAAGCTCTGGTTTAGTGGAAAGAGCTTTGCTCCATGGGAGAAGGATGGGCCTTCTCCTCACTTTTGACTTACTGCCTCTGAAAACCCCCTGGAGGGTCAGCTGTGACTTTGTTTAGACTTGATGGTACATAGTAACTAGCACTGTTAGATAGTAATGAGTTGTTTTCAACTCCTGGAATTCCGTATTAGGGAATAGAACCGCCCGTAGAGTTTTTTAGGCTATAAGCATTTATGGAGAAGCCCTGGCAGACCAACATATGGTCCTGGTGAAACCGGACTTGGCAGAAAGCTTAAGGATCCATATCTCACATGAAAGTCCATTCAAGGTGGATCAGACCTAGGAGTAAAGCCCAAAACATAAAGGTCAGAAGAAACAAAATGTGACAAAACTTAGAATGCTTTGCCAGTGATACAAAGAAGCTGGGAAATACAGTAACCAAACTAACCAAAAGATCAGTGTAACCCAGTGGTCTCCTCACTGTAAGGATTTTACACCTTTAGAAGACCTGTGGAGCAGTACCTCTATGTCCCTTATGATCACTGAATCAGATTTGCCTTAAGGCCATGGGTTTTAATCTGTGGAGGAAACAGATCTCCAGGTCTTATTTCTTGGAGGTGGCTGGAGTAAGTTCTGAGAACCTTTTGCCTGGCAGCCGAGTGTTTAAGCATCCTCACACTAGAGTTTACCTCAGTGTTTTTTCTGTAATTTTTTTATAGGTTTGTTGTTGTTGTTGTTAAGTTCCGTCGAGTCGCAGGCGACTCATCGCGACCCTGTGAAGGAGAGTCTCAATGCTTGGGTGCCTTTCATCCTCTCTCAAGGTTCATAGGGTTTCCAGAGGCAAGCTATTACGGAAGCGGATGCCGCTCCTGCTTCCAAGCTTGTTTTAATCGGGGAGCTCTACCCCGCTCTCTGTCCACATTGGGTAACCAGCCATTAGCGCATTTGTAACACATGAGTGTCACAGTGTTCAGCCTCACAGCAACCACAAGTGACCGCTGTAGGGCAACTTGTTTACCAGGTTTACATACAGTAATTTACAGGTTTATATACAGTAATTTATAGGTTTACATAACAGTAATTTGTTTACATTATATTTCATCTTGTACATTGTAAATTTACAGGTTTACATATAGTAATTTGTTTACATTGTTGGGTTTTTGTGGGTCCCCCGCCCAACCTTTCCTCCACCCACCAAACTAACTGCGACCTGATGATTTTCCCTTCCTCAGCCCACTGTCTCCTTCCTTTCCCTCTGGATAGCTATGCTCTTCTTACTGGTTATTCTATTTTTACAATAATGGTCTTAGACAGTATTTGTTCTTATGCACCTGAGTTAGTTCACTCACTATAATGCACTCTAGCCTCTCTCATGTTATATAGTATTTTTAAAATTGTTCCTGACTACTGCATAGTATTCCGTTATGCAAATGTACCACAGTTTCTCAGTCCAGTCTTTGGATATTTGGGCCATTTCCATGTTCTGGCTATTGCGAATAATGCTGTTCTGAACATGAGTGTACAGATCTCCACTTGTGTCTCACTTCTGTTTTCCTTCGGGTATGGTATGTTCCTAACAGTGAAATAACTGGTCATATAGAATTTCTGTGTTTAGCTTCTTGAGGAAACACCAAACTGCCTTCCAGAGTGGTTGTATCATTTTATATTCCCACCAACAGTGTAAGAGAGTTACAGTTTCTCCACATCCTCTCTTTCATTTATTTATTTTTTTTTGCTATCCTGTCAAACTTTGCCAGTTCACTTAAGGAGAGCAAAGCACTCTTTGATCTCAAAACCCACTACACAGCTGTAAAAACCATAACAGTATGGTACTGGTACAATGACAAACACATAGATCAATGGAACAGAATATGGTCAACTGATATTCCGCAAGGAATAAAACCTACCAGATGGGAAATGACAACCTCATCAACAAATGGTCCTGGTGAAACTGGACTTGCAGAAAGCTTAAGCAGTATCCGTATCTCACATAAAAATCCATCCAAAGTGGATCAGACCTAGGAGTAAAGACCAAAACATAAAGGTCAGAAGAGACAAAATGTGATGAAACTTAGAATGCCTCACCAATGATATAAAGAGGCTGGAAAGTAGAGTAAAAAAAAAAAATCACAGCCAGGAGAGGGTAACGATGAATGTGACCATCTAAGGACTAAGTCTCTGCATTAAAAACTTTTCCCATGGATCCTTTCCCACTGCCCTTTATTGATTATTCTGTTTTTGTGAGCACATCATTTAGTTGCTTCCTTTATGGGGGTAATTTTTTTTTTTTTTTAGTTTTTGTTTGTTTTCATTATACCCTTAAAACTCATTGTTAGTCTGATGTGTATATAGGATTTTTAGGTTGAAAAAATTTTCTCTCATGATTTTGAAGGCATTTTCAGTTTGTGGGGTCCTTTTTTTTTTTTTTTTTAAAGCTTAGTATTAATTCATTTCAAAACTTTACTATGGCCTCCCATTTAAAAATGCATTTGGTCTGTAGTATGGGGTTGGAATCCAGGTTGAAAGTCAGACAGAGGTTTGTTTTCTGGTTCTGGTAAGGATTAGGGTGGAATATTTACTCGCCTTTGGTTGTGAGTTCATCTTAGTCTACCTCCTGTTTAAAAACCTATTTAAAAACCATGTGGGCCCTCTGGCCTGAAGCCCTCAGGCCTGGTTTTAATTGTTTCTGGTCAAATATTCTAAGCTGTAAAGCACTGGTCTGTCCATTTGCTGTACAGTAGTAACTCAGGGTTGTTGTGATGTTAAACACTGTGACACTGATGTGCCAGATACAGTAATGATTACCCATAGTGGACGGTGTTTGGTGAAGCTCCCTGTTAAAACAAGCTTGGAAGCAGGAGTGGCGTCCACTCCTGAAATAGCTTGTCTCCAGAAACTATATGAATGTGAAGAAATGATGAAAGTTATACAAGTGTTCAGGACTTTCATTCTCAGGGTCGCTATGAGTTGACTAGAGGGAACTTAACAAATAATTTTTTTTTAAATGTGTTTTTTTTTTTTTTAATTTAAAAGAAAAAATAGTCAAGTTTTGAAATTAACCTAAAACTGAAAAAGATCCAAAGTGCTTGCTGCGGAAGGTCAAGGACTGTAGTCTTCAATATAGATCAAGAAGACAAAGATTCTCACCACTGGACCAATTGGCAGCAGTGTGATAGATGGTGAAGAGATTGAGGTGGTTAATAGTTACAGCTTGCTGCTGGGCTCCACAATCAACACTCTTAACACCAGCAGTCAGGAAATCAAAAGATCAATTAATTGCCTTGGGAAAAATCTGCTGCCAGAGACCTCTCCAGAGTGCTGAAAGGCAACCATGTCAGTCTAGAGTCTTAAGGTGTACCTAACCCAGGCCATGATCTTTGCAATTACTTGATATGCACCAGAGAGCTGCACAGTGATTAAGGATGACAGAAGAATCTATGCCTTTGAATTATGGTGCTGGAGAAGAGTCTTAAACATATCATGGACTTCCAAAAAACAAATAGGTCTGTGTTAGAGAGGATGAAGCCAAGTTCCTCCTAGGAGGCTAGGATTTTGAAGCTCCATCTCACATACTTTGGGCATGTGGCCAGGAGAGACTGGCCCTTGGAGAAGGACATTATGCTTTGAAGGATGGAGTGACAGCACAGGAGAGGAAAACCCTGGATGAGATGGATTGATACAGTGACTGGGACAGTGGAGGTTGGTGTGTCAGAATTAGTGAGACTGGCTCTGGACAGGGCAGGGTTCAGAGCTGCTGTACTTAGGGTCGCTATGGATTGCAGGCACATAACATTTTTTAAAATGAGTTATGTTGATACTTGATGGGACATTTCATAGCTGGAAATTTGTCTTTTTTGTTTGGTTTATTCATTTTCAGCCCTATTGTTTTCTCTCTTCTTTCTCTCATATTATGCACTGCTGTTTGGATGTTCCAGTCATCTTGAAGTATCCTAATTTCTTTCAAAGTTTTCCTTTTTTTCTGGTTACCTATTAGAGTTTATCAGAGTTCATTTCCTAAATAAAACTTTAAAAAGAATGTCTTTACTGTCACTTTTTGTTTCTTGTTCTTATTTATTTTAATTGCAGTTTAAGTTGCAAAAATTATCTTTTGTAGTGATCATTTCTTTTTATTGCATCATGTTCTTTCGATGTATATAATATCTTCTAAATCTCTAGAAATCTTAATTACAGGATTTCTGTTTTAAAATCTCTTGTCGCTCCATCTCTTTTGTGGATGTTATCTGGTGCATGATTTTGGTCTCCTTCATGTTGAAGGCGTTTTTCAAATGATGGAGAAAGAACCTTGGCTGGATATTTGAATTTAAAAAAGTGATTTGGAAGGTCTGTGTTTGGGTATAGCTTGTCAGCTGTGCCAAGCTTCATTTTTAAGTGAGAGAGACCTTCACATGTCAGTATACATGCTCCTTATGTCTGTGGAACCAGTCACAATTCTCCGAGAGGAATTTTCTGATTTAATGTACAGATCCATCAAAAGGTTTTAGTTGAGACTTGGTAGTTTTAACCAGTTCTAGGATGGTACTGATGCGGGAAGACTGTACTTGTAAGGATATTGGCCTGAGTGGTGGGGAAATTTTAGTGTGGTGGTTGGTATGGCTTCTGAATTGAGTGGTTTAGTCAATCCAGTAAGCTGAAAGTTGAGTGGTGACTGGTACCGCCATCGATATATGTATGTGTAATACATTTTATTTATATATGTGCATTATACATGAGTAAATAAAGTGAGGTTTGAGACTGTGATAATCAGTGACAAAAACCATTTTAAGTTAAACTGGCAAAAATTATAGAAATAATTGAAAGTAAAGGAAATAAATGGTTTTTCTGATACATTTTAAAAAATCTTGATTTCTAGTGTAATTGACTTCTGTTTGTTGGCAATTTCTATTTCTTTTAATGAATTACTTGCTTACATTGTTTGTCCAGTTTGATGTTTGACTAATTTTTCTTACTGAATTTATGTATTCTTAATATTATTGATTTTTTTCCCAAAATGGTAGTTTTCTTAGAGCATTTTACTTGTACTTTAATCTTATAATCTGTAATTATTGACAGAAGTTTTAGATTAGGACTTTTTATCTTTATCACTTTTGGTTTTTAATTACTTTAAAAGAACTTATTCTTTGTTGTAAAACCATTCCTCTATATGTCAATACTTTTTTGGTGTTGTGTCTGAATCTTCCTATAGCTGACCCTCCAGCAGGTTTCCAGAGGCAGTAAGTTGCACGGGAGAAGATGGCCTATCTTTCTCCTGTGGAGCAGTTGGTGGATTTACCATGTGCTTTTGAGTTGGCAGTGCAGCTCTTTAGCTCTAGGCCACCAGAGTGCCTTTAATACTTTTTAAATTAATTTATATGAAAATTTACAGATA